AGAACTTTATCCTGAGCCTTAATGAAACTGAATTGTAACCTGTTATTTTTCTAATAAACTCTATGATTGTGAGTATTGTCTGTGAGTTCTGTGTGGCCATTGCAACGAATTATCAAACTCAGCAGAGAAGTAATGTGTGCCATAGGTGGGACAGATAGCGGCAGAACTGGTAAAAAGGGCTAGTGAGAGGAGGTATGTCTGACCTCTGCCTCATAGGAATCAGCCTTGGGCTGTTGATCTTGATTCTCTTTCCCCTTTGTGAAGTTAGAGGATGTCAGACACCTCTGCTATGCCATTTTTACACCATCACATGTAATAGTAATAATACTACCATTTACTGAGTACCTACCATGTGCCAGGCATCACACTAAGAGACTTACATGTAGTTAATCCTCAGAGTAACCCCATAAAGTAGTCCTTGTGTTCTCCCTGTTCCCATTTGATAGACAAAGAAAACGAGACTTAGGGAAGTCAAAGATATACAACTAGTAATAGTCCAAACTAATATTAGAATCCAGCTATGTCTGACTCTCCACTGCATTAGCTTGTCACTGTATCTCACCCTGCTTCATGTAGACACTGGAATCCCCAGGCTCTGGTCCAAACGTGCCTGTTTGGCCTTGTCTCTCCCCACTTCTGCACTCCATGTGCTATGCTCAGCCATACTAAACTTCCTGCTGTGCCCCCCATACACCATCCTTTCTATCATGCTTCTCAAACTTAAATGCTAATGCTACTCGTCCTCAGACCACATTTTGAGTAACAAGGACCTAGGGCTTCTTAGGAGTCCCTGGGTGGTGCAAACAGTTAATGTACTCTGCTACTGACTAAAAGGTTGGAGATCTGAGGCCACCTAAGAAAGGCCTGGAGATCTACTTCCAAAAAATCAGCCATTAAAAATCCTATGGAACATCACACAAATAGACATATGAACACCCATGTTCATTGCAGCATTGTTCACAATAGAAAACGGTGGAAACAACCTAGATGCCCATCATCAGATGAATAGATAAATAAACTATGGTACATACACACAATGGAGTATTATGCAACAATGAGGAACAATGATGAATCTGTGAAGCGTCTCATAACATGGATGAATCTGGAGGACAGTATGCTGAGTGAAATAAGTCAATCATAAAAGGACAAATATTGTATGAGACCACAACTGTAAAAACTCATGAAAAGGTTTACACACAAAAAGAAACAACCTTTGATGGTTATGCGGGAGGGGAGGGGTGGGGATGGAAAAACACTAAGTAGACAATAGAGAAGTAAGTGGTAACTTTGGTGAAGGGTAAGACGGTACACAATACTGGGGAAGCAAGCACAACTTGTATAAGGCAAGGTCATGGAAGCTCCATAGACTCATCCAAACTCCCTGAGGGACCGAATTGCCTGGCTGAGGGCCGTGGAGACCATGATCTTGGGGAACATCTAGCTCAATTGAGAAAACATAGTTTATAAAGACAATGTTCTGCATTCTACCTTGGTGAGTAGCATCTGGGATCTTAAAAGCCTGTGAGAGGCCTTCTAAGATACTCCATGGGTCTCACCCTTTTGGGAGCAAGGGAGAATGAAGAGAACTAAAGATACAAGGAAAGATTAGTCCTTTGGACCACATCTACCATGGCCTCCACCATTCTGAGTCCAGTACAACTAGATGGTGCCCAGCTACCATCACTGACTGCTCTGACAAGGATCACAATAGAGGGTCCCGGACACAGCTGGAGAAAAAAGTAGAACAAAATTCTAACTCACAAAAAAAGACCAGACTTACTGGCCTGACAGGGACTGGAGAAACCCCGAGAGTATGGCCCCCGGACACCCTTTTAGCTCAGTAATGAAGTCACTCCTGAGGTTCACCCTTCAGCCAAAGATTAGACAGGCCCATAAAACAAAATGAGATTAAAGGGGCACACTAGCCCAGGGACAAGGACTAGAAGGCAGGAGGGGACAGGAAAGCTGATAATAGGGAACCCAGGGTTGAGAAGGAAGAGTGTTGACATGTTATGAGGTTGTTAACCAATGTCATAAAACAATATGTGTACCAACTGTTTAATGAGAAACTAGTTTGTTCTGTAAACCTTCATCTAAAGTACAATTAAAAAAAAGAAAGATAATAAATCAGTTATTAAAATTTAAAGCGCTCTTTCTTTTTTTTTTTTTTTTGCAGTTGTAACTGTGATTCACAGTTCAGGAAAGTGGTGAAAATGTAGGTGTGACATATCATTATAAAGTTGCTGTTTAAGACCAACAATGTCAGGTATTCAAGACTGTTGGGGGAGAAAAAAAAAGCTTAAAGTTATTTTTTGTTCTAAAAAAAAAAAAAACCTATGGAGCACATTTCTACTCTGACACACATGGGATCACAATGAGTTGGAATATACTCAACGGCAACTGGTGGTAGAGAAGCTCACTAGAAATGCAGATTTCAGGGCACCTAGTTGTTGCTTGTGCCATCAAGTCGATTCCGACTCATAGCGACGCTATATGACAGAGAACTGCCACATAGGGTTTCCTAGGCTGTAATCTTTACAGGACCGAATGACCAGGTCTTTTCTCCCAAGGAGCAGCTAGGGGTTCGAACCTCCAACATTTCTGCTGGGGTTAACAGCCCAGTGCTTAACCATAGACCTACTGAATCAAATCTGCATTTTAACAAGATCTCCAGGTGATTCATATGCACATTAAAGCTTTAGAAGCACGGTCTATATAATCTAGGTGCCTTTGCATAAGTTAATCCTTAACCTGGAATACCGTTTCCCTTGCTCCCCACCAGTATCATGTGAGCGCTTTCTACTCAGTATCATGTGAGCACTTACAATATGCCAGACACTGTACTTAGAACTAAGCATATAAAATTAAATTAAATTTTGGGCCTAAACTAAATGTCTTAGTTACCTAGTGCTGCTATAACAGAAATACCACAAGCGGATGGTTTTAACAAAGAGAAGTTTATTTCCTTACAGTAAAGTAGGCTAAAAGTCCAAATTCAGGGTGTCAGCTCCAGGGGAAGTCCTTCTCTCTCCCTTGGACTTCTCATCAATGTTCCCCCAGACTAGGAGCTTCTCCACGCAGGGACCCTGGGTCCAAAGGACATGCTCTGCTCCTGGCACTTCTTTCTCACTTGTATGAGGTCCCCATGTCTCTCTGCTCACTTCTCTCTTTTATATCTCAAGAGATTGCCTCAGGATACAATCCAATCTTGTAGATTGTGTCCTACCTCACTAACACAACTGCCGCCCATCCTCTCTCATTAACACCATAGAGGCAGGATTTACAACATATAGGAAAATCACATGATACCGGGAATCATGGCCCAGCAAACTGATACACACATTTTTGGGGGGACATAATTCGATCCTTGACATCTAAGACGATCATAGTCTGCTCTGACAGGAATCACAACAGAGGGTCCTGGACAGAGCTGGAGAAAAATGTAGAACAAAATTCTAACTCACAAAAAAAGACCAGACTTACTGGCCTGACAGGCATTGGAGAAACCCTGAGAGTATGGCCCCCGGACACCCTTTCAGCTCAGTAATGAAGTTACTCCCGAGGTTCACCCGTCAGCCAAAGATTAGACAGCCCCATAAAACAAAACAAGACTAATGGGACACAACAGTCCAGGGACAAGGACTAGAAGGCAGGAGGGGACAGGAAAGCTGGTAATAGGGAACTCAAGGTTGAGAAGAGACAGTGTTGACATGTTGTGGGGTTGTTAACCATTGTCATAAAACAATATGTGTACTAACTGTTTAATGAGAAACTATTCTGTAAACCTTCATCTAAAGTACAATTAAAAAAATAAATAAAATAAAATAAAGATGATTATAGTGATTCATATGAGAGGCATGTAAAACAAACAGTTTTTTTTTTAAAAGACAATCCTTAACCAAGTAACCAAGGTTAACATCACCAATGAAAAATCACATTATTATCATGTATTCCCTGATATGATGGATAAAAGGGCATTTCACTCATCAGCATGGTTAGGGTCCAAAGACCAGGTCATTATGTGAAAATGGGCTATATGTGAAAACGGAGGATGACCACATCAGATCACAAAATGGAGAATGACTACATCATTACATAACTGCCAAATTACATCATTATATAACTGCCAAATTACATCATTATATAACTGCCAAACCATTGAGAATCATGGCCCAGCCAAGTTGACACATAAGCTTAACTATCACAGCCAACATTACTCTTGTCTCACGCCTCAGTATTTGCACTGCCAGATGTGTGTCATTAATGCACAAAACAGTCGGATAGCAGATTTTTTACTACTGTCGTAAATGCAAAATGTCAGAAAACGAGATAGTCAATAAGTGAGGAGTACATGTAATCTTGACTAAGATTACATAGGATAAGGATTTTTAAATGCCTATTATACAGGAAACAGTCTCCCAAAAAGTAAAGAAAAATGATCAGCAATAGTCATTTAAAAGGAGTTATCACTGAACAATTTGTGTAGAAATTGTTTAATGGTAACCTAAACTGCTGTGTAAATCTTCAGTGAAAACATAATAAAATATTATTTTTTAAAAAAAATAGATGAAATGGTTAATTGGCTTAAATCTCTCTTAGTTATCTAGTGCTGCTATAACAGAAATACCACAAGTAGATGGCTGTAACAAATAGAAAATTTACTCTCTCACATTTTAGGAGGCTAGAAGTCCAAATTCAGGGTACCAGCTCCAGGGGAAGGCTTTCGCTCTCTGTTGGCTCTGGAGGAAGGTCCTTGTCATCAATCTTTCCGTGGGTCTAGGAGTTTTTCAATGCAGGGATCCCAGGTCCAAAGGACTCACTCCACTCCAGGCTCTTCTTTCTTGGTGGTAGGAGGTCCTTCCTCTCTCTGCTGGCTTCTGTCTTTTATATCTCAAAAGAGATTGACTCAAGATACAACCCAATCCTGTAGATTTCATCCTGCCTTTAATATAACTGCCTCTAATCCTGTCTCTTAACATCACAAAGGTTAGGATTTACAACACACAGGATAAATACATCAGATCACAAAATGGAGGACAACCACACAATCCTGGGAATCATGGCCTAGCCAAGTTGAAACACATTTTGGGGGGACATAAATTCAATCCATGACACTCTCTATAGAAAAATAGGTACTAGCCAGATGGGAGGATCTGAGATGTTTTCAAAAGTGAGCACTATAAATTTTCCTTCTTATACACTGTATGTGTTTTGTTTGTTTGTGTGTTTTTAAGAAAGGAAGGAGGGAAAGAGAATGTGGTATACTACTGAAGTGCTACGATTTCTAAATCCAGTAAGTGTCATCATTCCTGTTGGAAAGTGCAAACAGGTTGGAATGGTGAATGTTGGAACTTGGGACGAAACTCAGGAAAGGACGAATGTAATAGAGTGTGCCTGTTACCCTATCTCTTTGTTGCAGTTTCCTTCATTGTGAAGCCAGGCAGCAAAGGACTTGGTTCAGGTTCAGAAAAAGAGAACAGTTAAAATGTGAAATGACAGTCATGGGCAAGTGGGTTGTGAGTACAACCTCCTCTCCACTTGCAAGGGATCATCCTTAGCTAAATACCGTGTAGCATTGCTCTGTCCAAGCCTACCTTTATTTCTGAGATGATTGCAGATTTATGTCATGCAGATTTATCCTTGCTCTTATATTGTCATTTAGCTGACTGGCAGTAAAGTTGAGCCCAAGGATATTTCCTAGGGTTAGTCACTTGCTATAAAAACACACAAATATTCACTTAACAATGTAAATGTACCAAAAAATGTACACTTTTTCTCTGAGTGCTCAGCATCCAACTATTCTAAACGAATATGTCCAATTTCACAGTACCTGGGGGAAGGTCTGGTAATTAGTGGAGTTATGGCCTATTTGTGGGGTGACAATAGATAGGCTCTAGAATCAGGCTGGTCAGATTTCTTAATGTCAGCCCTCTCTACCCCCACCCTCAGCTACTTAACAGCTTTGTGGCCCTGAATAAGTTGTTTAATCACTTTGAACCTCAGAATCTTCTTCTTCAAAAAGGGATAATATCCCATGATGTTGCTGTGAGGATAAAATTATATCCTGTATGTCAAGTACCTCAACTTATAATATTTAGTAATAGCAAATATTTGTTGATAGTTGACTTATGCCTAACACTCTTCTTTCCTCTTACATGTATTAATTTAACCTTCACAACAATCCTCTAGTAGGCACTCTTATTATTATCATCCCGAGTATATAGAAGGGGAAACTGAAGCTCAGAGAGGTGAACTTGCACAGTATATAAAGTGGCAGAGCTGAAAATCCATGCAGGCTGGTTCCAATATAGCCATTATATTATACTGTGTTTCATGTAGGTATTATTATTACTGTTGCTGCTGTTATTCTCATCCAAGCGCCCATTAGCACAAACCAGATGGGGCCATGCTATTTCTCCTACATAGATAAAGTCAATAGTAACCCTAATCACACCACTAGACCTACCCTAATATTCTACTCCCCGGAGTTCAGGACTTGGACTCTCTTCTCTCAAAGAACATTGTATCAAGTGACATGATTTGAGACAGCTAACCAGCATGCAAACTATTTGTCAATGTTATTAGGACACATACACTCACGAACTAAACTAGGCTCCCAATAGACTTTTTATCTTACGGTCACACATGGGAGTAGTTACCTTGCCAGGACTTCAGTTTCTCTTCATTCTCTGCTTTTCCAATTCCATCTCCACCCCGAGTCTTCTGAATTATAAGCCACAGTTGTCTCCTCTCTACTAACCCTCACACTTCAATACTGTCTCAATGGGTCTATCTCAAACTCTTTCCCTTATCCTGTTTTCCCCTTTAGAAATCATGCACACAATCTTGTGTATTTTCTTCACATTCCTCTTTCTTCACATTCCTCTTTCAGCACTGACCCCAACATTTTCTGCTTCTGAAAAATCAGCCCCTTCATGTACTTAATATGCAGAAATGAAAACTAAGAAGGCATTTTAAAAACTTATTTAGATATTTATTTCAAATGACATAATCCATACACGCAAGTAACAAAATACACAAAATGTAGGTGAAAACAATTTTCACACATTAAAGAGCTGCACTATTAATGATACATTAATGACTCCTGCTTGTTTGAAATGGAAGAAGAGAATTAAAGTGAAAAAAGTCAAATGACAGAGACTTCAGTTATAAAATATACTGAGAAGAAATCTCCCTGTTTCAGGAGCTCCTCCCCACCCCTACCCCTGAAGTTACAGGGCAGTATTACAGAACACAGTCTAGAGGGCCCACAAGCCAGTCTTGACAGTCACAGCTGCCTTGTCACCAGGAGCTATTTAATCCACTTCTTCAATGACAGGGCCAGTACTGGACGCTCCCTGGCAGGCTTGAGCCCCACAGCTGCTGCCTCTAGGAATGTCAGGTCCCCCATAGAGCCTGGAGAAGATGGGGCAACACATTTGCTCCAGCTCCCTCTTCTGATGCTCATACTCATCCTTCTCTGCCAGCTGGTTGCGCTCCAGCCAGACGAGGACTTCCTGACACTTGCCTTGTGCTCTGCGCCTGTCCTCTTCAGGAATCTTATCCCTAAGGCCTTCCTCTTGCAAGGAGCTCTTCACATGAAAGACATAGGCCTCTAGGGAGTTTTTGGCAGCCACCCTGTCCCTCTGGGCCTCATCCTCAGCCTTGTACTGCTCAGCCTCATGCACCATCCTCTCCACATCCTCCTTGCTCAGTCGGCCTTTGTCATTGGCGATGGTGATCTTGTTAGCCTTGCCTGTGCTCCTGTCAATGGTTGTAACATTCAGAATGCCATTGGCATCAATGTCGAAGGTCACCTCAATCTGAGGGACTCCCCGTGGGGCAGGAGGGATGCCACTGAGCTCAAAGCGCCCTAGCAGGTTGTTGTCCCTGGTCATGGCCCTCTCACCCTCATAAACTTGGATCAGGACCCCAGGCTGGTTGTCTGAGTAGGTGGTGAACGTCTGGGTCTGCCTCGTGGGGATGGTGGCATTCCTCTGGATCAGTGTGGTCATTACCCCGCCTGCTGTCTCCAGCCCCAGGGACAGGGGTGCTACATCTAGCAGCAGGAGATCCTGCACTTTCTCACACTTGTCTCTCATCAGCACTGCTGCCTGCACAGCAGCCCCATAGGCCACGGCCTCATCCGGGTTGATGCTCTTGTTCAGCTCCCTGCCGCTGAAGAAGTCCTGCAGCAGCTTCTGCACCTTGGGGATGCGGGTGGAGCCGCCCACCAGGACGATGTCGTGAATCTGGGCCTTGTCCAGCTTGGCATCCACGGGCTCCAGAGTGCTTCGGAAGAGGTCTGAGCACAGCTCCTCAAAGCGAGCTCGAGTGATGGGCGTGTAGAAGTCCAAGCCCTCGAACAGGCAGTCAATCTCCAGGGTGGCCTGGGTGCTGGAGGATAGGGTGTGCTTGGTGCGCTCACAGGCCGTGCGTAGCCTGCGCAGGGCCCGCTTGTTCCCCATCAAGTCCTTCACGTGCTTCCGGCGGAATTCCTCCACGAAGTGGTTCATCAGCCGGTTGTCGCGCTCTCCACCCAGGTGGGTGTCTCCAGCCGTAGCCTTCACTTCAAAGACACCAGCTTCGATAGTGAGGACCGACACGTCGAAGGTGCCTCCACCCAGGTCAAAAATGAGCACGTTGCGCTATCCGGCGCCCCGCCGGTCCAGCCCGTAGGCGATGGCGGCCGCCGTGGGCTCTTTGATGATCCTCAACACGTTGAGCCCCGCGATGGCGCCCGCGTCCTTGGTAGCCTGGCGCTGCGAGTCGCTGAAATAGGCCGGCACTGTGATCACCGCGTGCTTCACTGGCTGGCCCAGGTACGCCTCCGCCGTCTCCTTCATCTTGCTCAGCACCATGGCCGAGATCTCCTCGGGGTAGAAGGCCTTGTCCTCCCCGCGGTGAGAGACGCGTACCTTGGGCTTGCCGCCCTCGCTCACCACCTGAAAGGGCCAGTGCTTCATGTCTGACCGCACAGTCGCGTCGGCGAACTTGCGCCCGATCAGCCGCTTCGCGTCGAACACCGTGTTTTGCGGGTTCAGGGCCGCCTGGCTCTTGGCCACGTCGCCCACCAGCCGCTCGGTGTCGGTGAAGGCCACATAGCTGGGCGTCGTGCGGTTGCCCTGGTCATTGGCGAGGATCTCCACTCGGCCGTGTTGGAACACGCCCACGCACGAATACGTGGTGCCCAGATCGATGCCGATAGCCACTTCCCTCCGGCCGGACATGGCTGTGGCTTTTCGCGCTCCTCGGGACGAGTTGGATGCCGAGTCAGATGCGCAAGGCTGCGGGAGTCGGTGCGGCTCAGCAGTGCTGCTCTCCTCGCGGTTCTTTTCCCGCCCGCTTAGCTTAGATCTGCTCGGCTCCGCTTCCAGCAGCTTTATATTCTGTTGTAGCCCGGGACCCGCCTCCTGCCCAGGCCGCCGCGAACGTTCCCGCGCCTTCTCGGCGAGCCGAGAGCCACCAGGCCCGCCCTGGCAGACTCTGCTGGAGGCGCCGCGGGCCAGGGGAGGATCCGGCCGTGTGAGGCGGGTGCGGGGCGGTACGCAGGCCTTACCCGCCTCTGACTCGGAGCTGCAGAACCTTGAGAAAGGAGGAGAAAGTTCCAGCTTCCCCCAGCTTGTTCTAAGGGCGCTCAACGGCGGTTTGGCTGAAGCCAGTAAACGCAGTCCCTTCCCGAAAGAACGAATTCTCCCCCTTATTGGTTGGAGGCACGACTGCCTGAGAGGGCCGGCTGAGTCCACCTGCTGGGGATTGCTGAAAGCATGTTACCATGCGAAAAGAGCTATGGCCTTAAAGCCAAGAGTCTAAATAGATATTTTATTATTATTATTTTATTGTGCTTTAGGTGACAGTTTACAGAGCAAATTAATTTCTTATTCAAAAATTTATACACAAATTGTTTCATGACATTGGTTGCAATCCCCCTAATTGTCAGCTCTCTGCCCCTTTCCTTCCACACCGCGGTTCCCGGGTCCATTTGTCCAGTTTTCCTGTCCCTTCCCGCCTTCTCGTCTTTGTTTTGGCCAGTTATTGTCCATTTGGTCTCCTATACTTGACTGAACTAAGAAGCACGCTCCTCACGCTCCTCACGTGTGTTATTGTTTGTTTTATAGGCCTGTCTAATCTTTGGCTGAAAGGCGAATTTCGGAAATGGCTTTAGTTCTGTGTTAGAAGGGTGTCTGGGGGTCATAGTCTGGGGTAAGTAGTAATTTTTTAAAGTCGTACATAAAAGTGGTATTTTTAATTTTTTAAACTGTGCTTTAGGTGAAAGTTTACAGCTCAAGTTAGTTTCTCATACAAAAATTTATACACACATTGTTATGTGACCCTAGTTGCTATTATCCCTGTAATGTGACAGCACACTCCCCGTTTCCACTCTGGATTTCCCGTGTCCATTCAACCAGCTCCTCTCCCTTTCTGCCCTCTCATCTCGCCTTCGGACGGGAGCTGCCCATTTAGTCTCATGTATCTACTTGAACTAAGAAGCACACTCTTCACGAGCATCATTTTATGTCCCATAGTCCAGTCTAAGCTTTGTCTGAAGAGTTGGCTTCGGGAATGGTTTCAGTTCTGGGTTAACAGAGAGTCCCGGGGTCATGTCTTCTGGGGTTCCTGTAGTCTTAGTCAGACCATTAAGTCTGGTCTTTTTACATGAATTTGAGTTCTGCACCCCACTTTTCCTCTGCTCCGTCAGGGACTCTGTTGTGTTCCCTGTCAAGGAGGTTAAAAATAGTATTTTTGAATCCGTGAATTGGTTGCGAGAAAGCAGCCAGGGACAAAGATGAAGTTAAGAGTAGATGCTTCAAAACATTTTTCAGCACTGGCATTGGTGGTTCAGTGGTAGAATTCTCGCCTGCCACGCGGGAGGCCCGGGTTCGATTCCCGGCCAATGCAGCGCGCTCCTGTTTTTTCGACAAAAGGATATTTGTTATTTTAGTTCTTTCTGTATTCTAGGATTCACCTCATTAAAATAAACGACATCCGTTAAGCTAAAAGTTTGGATTCTTTTGATTTTATTTCCCTATCCTTTACCAAGTCACTTTCCTCACAAGTCGGGACTTCACGCTGTGGCTGGGGGTTGGCTTCGCTACTCCTTCCTAGAGAGAGAGTGGGCGCGGCAGGCGAGGGAGGAGGATGCACTCTTGTGGGAATGTCCCTCCTGTTATGGAGACCCTTCCCCATGTTCGTATCCCAGGGGAGAAACCTCCCTAGAGGCCGTTTGGAAAGGCAGGCACAGTGTGCAGTTTTCCCTACGTCCTAAGCGAGCTCCGAGCCGGCGCCCAGGATTCAGGTGCAGAGTGAACTGCTGCAGACCGCAGCTCACCTACGCCCTATAGGCCAGGTGGCAAGGTGCGTTCACTGGCCAGTAAAACCACACTATTCACACCAGTCCTACGTCCTTGCTAGTTTAGTCTTTGCCATATCCCACTTTCTTTAGTCCAGAACATTTCATTTGAATTTTCTGGTGTTTGGATTTCTACGGGAAACCAAAAGTAGGAGGCATTTCGGAAAAGAGAGAGTGGAAATGGGGGAAGAAAAAACAAGCACTTTTTTAGCCGCGTGTCAGCCGGGATACGCGATACTAACGAGGACAGCAGCACTAAAGTACGTGGTATATTCTAATGTTCTACTTTAGAGGACTTAAAGCTGAGTTTTATTTAACATGTTATTTGCCTGGTTCAAACGAAACTGCTAATTTTTATAAAGAGAAATTAAAATCGCTTTCTCCGTCAGTGGCTCTTTTTTCCTCCGACTGGTTAGAATCCACTGGGAAGCTTGGGCAAGGGAGGTGGTTTACAGCGGGAGCAGGGAGTCAAAATGCAGGGGTCAGTTGGACTTCTGGACAAGGTTTCCTGGACGGCCCTCTCCCAGTGTGTTGGTGAGAATGAGTTGGCAAAGTTTGCTACTAGAGAGACCAGCCGTACTGTGAAGGTAATCAGTCTAGGAAAAAAAGGAAGTGTGAAATGAAGGACTCTCCCAATGGAAAAATCAAAACCATCCTCAAAGAAGACAGAGCGTATTGTATAACTCCAGGAGAGAGAGGGAAGCTGTCAACTTAAAACTCATTTACTCTTATGTGAAACTGACACTTTCCACACACCCAGGAATACACAGAGCTTTGGTGGCATGGTGGTTAGCAGCCTCACTGTTAACCAGAAGGCTGGCAGTTTGAATCCACCAGCTGCTCCTTGGAAACTCTACAGGGCAGTTTTTCTCTGAGTTGGAGATGACTCAATGGCAATGGGTTTGGGTTTTTTTGTTTTTTTTTAGGAGAACATGGTGTCAGGGCCAGGGAAATTTTAGCCAGGGGCCTGCCAGAGAAAGGTTCTCACCTCAGAAGGATAAAGGTAGTTTGGCCTGGGGTCTTACAGACCTGGAGGGGCATGTACCCATCCTGGTTCTCCCAACCCTCTCTCCCTCCCCTCACGAGCCTCAAAACCCAATCCACTCTCCTCCCAAGAGTCTCAACTGTAGCCCTAAAGCAGGCCCCTCCGTGCATGGATGTTAACCACAGCATCATACAGGTATGCTTCCAATGAGTCACTCATTACTTTCTGTCCACTCAGAGAGGTTTAAGCGTAGAGGAGCTTATGTACGCAGGGTAAATTTTAGACACACACTTAAACATATCCATTTATGTTTAATAACTTGGTTTGAGAATCTTTAAAAATAGAGCAGACATTAATCACTTAGGTAGACATTGTGAAGTGGAGGGATGCTCATGATCCAACATTGAGTTTAAAAAAAAAAAACCAAGTTGTAGCACAAAATGTACAGTATGATCCCAGACTGTATATATAAAGATTTATGACACCAACTACTTATGTGTACTTGAGCAAGTCATTTCACCTATGTGGGTCACAGCTTCCTCAGTTTTAAAATGAGATTGGTCGACGTTGTTCCTAAGGAATTTCCAGCTTTAAAAGCCTCTGACTTCAAATGCTAAGAATTTACTCATCCCACAAGTATTTATTGAGCACTTTATCATTTGCCAGACACTGACCTAGGCTATGAGTATATCATGGTGAACAAAACAGACAAAGGCCTTCCTCTCATGGAGCTCACATTCTAATAGGAGGGGACAAGTCTGACTATAAACAATTAAACAAGTAAACATATAGTACATCAGTTGGCAATAAATACAATGGAGAAAAAATAAAGCAAAAGAGAATTAGGAGCATGGGGGAAAACAGGATTATATTGAATGGTTGAGGAGGCCTCACTGATAAGGTGACATTTGAGTAAAGACCTAACGGACGTGATGAAGCAAGCCTCATGGATATGTGCAAGAAAGAAGATCTCAGAGACAGGAAACAACATAGGCCCTGGGCAGAAGTATACTTGGTGTGTTCAAGAAACAGATTGAGCAAAGAAGAGTGGTAGGAGATGGGGTCAGAGAGGCAGTGTGGAACAAGATCATGTAGCGCTTTGAAGGATGTTGAAAAGACCTTAGTGTTTACTCTAAATGAAATTGGAAGCTATTACATTGTTTTCAGCAAAGATGTGACAGATACGGCACACATTTTAAAAAGATCACTGTGGCTATTGTGATGAGAATGAGAATAGGGTGGCAAGGGTGAGTGCAGGGAGACTACTTAGGAGGCTATTGCAGTAATGCAGGTGAGAGATGATGGTGTCTCGGACCAAGGTACAAGTGGTAGAGAACTGAGAAGTGGTCAGATTGCTGAATATATTTTGAAGCAGAATTTATTGTTGTTTTGTGTATTGGAGAAGCATCTGTCCAGAGTCGGTGAAAATACACTTGATGTGACTCCTTATAGAGGTAGGCAGGCTGTGACCTTCAGAGCTCAGGGGTAAGAGTCGGGTATGCTGTGACTTAGCTCTGGTAATCATAGGCCCTTCCTTTCCCTGGCGGCTAAGGGGTGGGTGGAGGCTCCTCAGCCAAGGTTGTTGTCAGGAGGGGCTACGAGAGGAGGAAAAATATAGCCTGAAGAGTTGCTGCCACTACTATTACTCCATATGATGAGGGGTCATTTGTCCTGAGGGCTCTTGCTCCATGTGACATTATAGTTGTTCCTGTTGCCCATTAAGCTTTGAAGGTCTCTCTGCAAAGACAGATACAGGCCTGTGTCCACTGTAAACAGCAGTCCCATCACCAGGATGAAAGTGATTTGGTACCAAAATAGAAAGAATGGTGAATTTGCGGGACCTAGTAGGAGAGGCAGAGGGATGAGAAAAATGACGGACATTAAGGTGGAAATTTGGAATAAACAGTGAGGTCCCCACTAGGGAACCTTTGTGAAGTCACGTAAACCAGGGGCTGAGATCAATGCCAAAAGCAGATAGGTAGGCCAGGAAGTCTTTAAAGGATCCCCTATCTTTCTGCCTTCCCAGATACAGCACTAGATCAGCATTTCCCAAAGGGTGACCTTGGGCATCTGTTCTGAGAGACACTGATAGAAGTTATAGAGGAAAAAGGTTTTGTGGTCATCTAAGTTTGGGAAATGCTATGTGAACATAGTTTAAAAGTTTTATTTTTGTAAACTTTCACCTAAAGCACAATTTTTTTTTAAAAAAGTTTTCTTTTTAACAACAGGGCTTCTTGAAGCCTTTCATGTGCATTGTGAATCTATATGGAGAGGAACAGAGCATGCAGCATGTTCCACATTAATTTGACCAGAGTGAATCCTTTATTCTAAAAAACCTCTCAAGGAGTAATGTGCTTGGGGAACAGCCTTTGGAAAACATTGAACTAGGGAATCCACTGACCACATCAACACCTCTTCACCTCATCTCCTCTGAGCCTAGGACAGGGTGGTATTGACTGACCAACACTAGTCTGACATAAGCTTCTGATACCCCCTGAAAAGACATGTGAGGATTCCACAAAGCACAGTTCCTCAAGAACAGGCCCAGACCTGGTTCTTTGTAGGTGGGAAGAGATTCTCATGCCAACATGGCTTCCCTGAGCTAAGATTTGGGTCTAGGCTGAGAGGGTCAGTAGAGAGGTACAAGCCTCAGGATCCTAGGAGATAGAGGGACATGTGACAAAGTGGAATGGTTTGAATGAGGTGAAAAGCTGGGAAGGTGAATATGTCTGGTATATGTGTTTGTGAGGAGCAAAAAGTGGCTTCTATCCTCTGAGAGTTAAAACTCCAAGTGAATGACACCCATTTCTATAATCTCTGAGGAATGAGCTAGAATAGAGCTGCACATCCACACAGCAATCAGGTCAAGCTAGGACTTTCAGGGTTCCCACTGATGTCAAAGAGAGACTCAGAAGAAAACAGGTACTGAAGTCTGAAAAAGATCTGTAATTGCCTCCCTACTCATCATTTCCAGGCCTGAAGTACCTTAAACAGAGATGTCCATCCCGTCTGCGTATGGTCCCTGGTTCTCACCTTGGACAGTGATGGTCACAGGCTGCGATGAATGGAGATTTTGCCCTATCATTCCCGTGCAGTGATAATCTCCACTGTGATTGTGGTTTGCTTGTGGGATGGTGAAGTTGGAATTTTTACCAAAAAACTTCTTGGATTTTCCATTCTGGTAGAACGTGACCTTGTACAGAATCCAGTTCTTCCAGCTGTGGCACCTCAGCACAATGGTCTCCCCCTCCTGAAACACCAGGTGAGGGGTCTGGAGCAGCAGCCAATCTAAAAGACACCAACACAGGAAGAAAAATTTCCAAGACTGGATACCAAGGCCCTTACAGCCTCATGTTCAGGGCTACATTAGTTACAGAACTTGAAAGGCTGTCAGGCAGAGGGAACGGAAGATGCTTCATGGCAGATGTGAACACTGTCTTACAGGCAAAATACGGTCTTATGTCTGTGAGACCTCTGAAGGCTAAAAATTTCCGAAGTTTCAAAGATGAACAGCAGGGACACGGGAGCAAGGTGAGAGGTGGCAATTTTGAGGAATTAAAAATGTTTTGCTGTCGTAGGGAAATAAACACATTTCAGTAACTTAAAGATTACAAAACAGGATGTGAAACCTTCAGTTTGTTGTGGAGACAGCATTTGTGGTCTGGGGATTACTAATGTAATGGTAAGTTTTGAACAAGATTTGGGAAGTGAGGATGGGCAGCCATTAATTTTGTTAGCAGTGAAGTAGAGCCTTAACAATACCTCACCCTGAATGGAAATTTTTACATCCACATAAGAAATGAAAATATATGACCTTTTGAATTCAGTGTTCAACTGTGACTCTGAACAAAAGGAGCATTAAATAAAGCTTTTAAATTTGAAATTGCTTTCCCCTCCTTGCTGCCCATCCACCCCTACTCTCAATGATGCCAGAATAATTAGATTCCAAAATTCAGGCACCTTGGAGGTCAAGTCTATAAACTTAGCAGAAAAAAAAAAAAAATCAAATTGCTAAATTTACCACAAAAATAAATATAATTTATTATATCTTAAATGAAAACTTACTTATTTAAGGAACAGTATTCTGTATATGAAAGGCAAGGTATTGTTGAGAGAGCATAAAACAGAAATCAAAAATCAGAATTCTAATTTTGGCTCTGCCATGAACTTGGGGGATTTGGGGTCTCATGGGCTTAATTTCTTATACAACGGAGGGATGAGACTAGGTAGTTTCTTCCTAAGGGTCCTTTAGATCTAAATTTTTATTATCTATGCTTTTGCATTTTCTCAGGAAAAGCCAGAGGTAGCATCAGTTTTTTCTGGGGAGGTGATGGGCACAGAGAAGAGATGATGTATTGGGCAGGTCTCTAAGTTGAGTCAATATTTATTCCCCTTTCAATAGAATACCATCAACAGAAAGTGACTCCACTGCCAGGATCTCTCTGGTACAGGAGTCTTAAAAGACCACAAAAATCATCCTCCTGACATGCGGTGCAGTGAATTACTTAATATGGTCCTTCTAGCCATGGTCTTTGTAACTCTCACCAAATGACTGGGTGAGATTGTGCAAATGAGGTGCTTGTGGCCCACCAAGGGGATTGGATAGATACTAATAATGTAAATAAGGTGCATGGCACCCTTGTGGGAGTGGGACCAAGCATAAGGCATATGGAACCCTAACAAGGGGATTAGTCAGTTTTGCCATCCAGCTAGGCTTAAAATGAGCCATCCCAGAGACAACAGAGGGGACCTTGTGACCACCAAGAAGAAGAGATGGGAATGGAGTGCATCTTTTGGACCCAGGATCCCTGCACTGAGAACCGCCTCAACTCAGGAAACAGAGAGAGAGAGAGAGAGCTGTAACACCAGAAATGGCAAGAGACGGCAAGAAGCAGAGGCAGCAGAACCAGGAGACTGGCAGGAGACCAGCAAGAGACCAGAAGGAGACAGAGCAGTGAACTCCCAGCCTACGGAGCAAGAAAGCTGAGCACCTTTGGGCAGGAGGCTGGCTGTTGGAGTCAGGTGCCTCCAGGCACTTGGTGGAGCTAGGTTTGCCAACCCACAGAGGTACAGCTGAGCGCCTTCGGACTGAGGTTTACTGGCAGAGTGGGGTGACTCGGGGCACTTATCAGCAGGGCTAAAAGAGCTTTGTAACACTTGCCTGAGCAGGGTAGAGGCCAGGCCAAGGGGCTGAGGGTCAGAGAGAGACCTGCCCAGGGGCATGGCTGAGAAGAGGCTGTCCTAATTGAAGAACTGTGTCCTGAGTGTTCTTGAACCTGAACTGTAACCTGTTACTTCCCTAATAAACCCCATAACTGTAAGTATGGTCTGTGAGTTCTGTGTAGCCATTGCAACAAATTAGCAAACCCATCTTAGAAGCAGAGAGTGCCAATGGAAGGATGGCTGGTGTCAGAATTGGTAAAAAGGTTGGAGGGTCTGACCTCTGTCTCATAGGAATCAGCCTTGGACTGATCTTGATCTTGACTCTCCTTCCACCCACCTTGTGAAGTAAGAGGAGGCCAGATACCTCCGCCATGCCATTTTTACCTGGTATTAAACAGGGAAATTAAAAACACTGGGTGCTCACATGTGACCATCTTCAGGGTTTATTCACCAAGTACAGTGGAGTGAAGTACAATATAAATGTGCTCATACTTTCAAACATTAGCAGGAGTGCACGGAGAGATATAGTATCTAGGGTATTTTCTCTACCAGTTAACAAGTTGCTATCAAGTTGACTCACGGTAACCACATCCATCAGAGTAGAACTGTGTCCCATAGTTTTCAATGGCTGATTTTTCACCGGGACTCCTGGGTGGCACAAATGGTTAACGTGTTCAGCTGTTAACTGAAAGGTTGGAGGTTTGAGTCCACCCAGAGGCACCTGAGAAGAAAGGCCTGGTGATCTACATCCAAAAAATCAGCCATTGAAAACCCTACAGAGCAAAGTTCTACTCTGACATGCATGGGGCCAGCATGAGTCAGAATCAGCTGGAAGGCAGCTGGTTTTCTCTACAGAATCTATTAAACTGTACACTGTGAGATATTTATAGAAACCTTAGTCAGATCATATAACTACTTTAATTAAAACCATCTAATGAATTCTTATCCCATTCAGGAATAAAAGTCAAAATCATTGCAACAGGCTATAAGTCTCTACATGATCTTCTCCCCCTTCCTCCCACCTCTGAGCTCATGTTGCAGATTCACTTCCTCACAGCAGCCTCCTGCACTCCGGTCAGATGGCCTCCTATTTGTTTCTCACATATGTCAAGCATGCTCCCAGCATAGGGCCTTTGCAGTCTATTAGCCTCCAACCCCTTTGCTTTATCATACTGCAGTAAGAATAAGATTTTTTAATGGAGTAAGGATTTATTTCTTCTTCTCTCACGCTCAGCTCCCTATCTGTGGCCTTGTAACTTTCATACTCGATCAGCACTGAAGCAAAAATAATCATTGACATATTCTGAGGAATTTCATAGCCATTTCTATCCCTACCACACATGCTAAGAGGGTGGGTGAGAAGGGAAATGGGTGGGCAAAAACTGCTTCCAACAACTCACAGTGGTGTTTCCCAGTAAACAAGCCTTTCCTGAAAACCTCTGCAATGTAAGCAGATTGCATCTCACCTTATCCTCCCAGACCCTCCCCAGGTTGCCCTCCACTGACCGGAAAACACGTCCAGCTGCACAGGGTCGCTGAGGCTGGTCTGGCTTGTCTGGCACCTGTACTCCCCGCTGCTGCTGGCAGTGGCGTTAAAGCTGTAGCTGGGCTGGATCTGAGTTGGGATGGGGATCCCTCTGTGGAACCACTGGATGGAGTTGTTCCCAGGGGTGTGGGCCCCGTGGCACTTCAGAGTCACATAGTCCCCTTGGAACACATTGATCCATGGGGGTTCAAGGTTCACCACTGCCTTCGGGAGATCTGCTGAGGAGGAGAGGGCAGAAAGGAGTGTGAATAAATAACTTTTGAGGGACCGTGGATTCCAAAGTAGCTCCTAGGGCAGATCAAGGGCCAGAGAGAACTACTGTAGACCCAATTAAAGATCATTCCCTTGGATCTTCAGGTCTTTGGTGAATCCAGTGGGAATCTCATCAACAATCAAGTCTCAGGGCCCACTGAAATGGGGGAACTGTCCATGCTGAACCTGAACCTGATTCTTGGTAGAACGGACATTTTCCTATATAGTAAATATAGCATCACATTGTAAGGGAATAACACCATCAATCCAAGAAACCAAAGAGTAAACTTGCCAGCTCGCGTATCTGCAGAAGCTGTAAAAGAGAAGAGAGAGGGTTAATGTAGAACAGAAGACAACGAGACCACATTTAGTTCTGTGTGTGGAGGAGGACCAGGTAGATGATGATCTTAGCTTCCTTCTTTCCCCAAGACCCATTTCAAGAGCCTGTTCCCAACTGATCTCTTATGAGAGTACTCATTTCTCATGTCCTCCTTATCTTGTCCCAGTCTCTTCAAATGGCTACAAAGTAAACATGAATATTTTGTGCAGAATGACTTCTCAGGGACTCAGGAAGTACCTCTGAATTCTTTCCTTAGGAACCAGTAGAACAGTAAGAACTCAGGGTCCTCTCTCCCCTTTCAGTCTGTTCTCAGCTTCCAGTCCCTGCTCCTGACCACACTGGTCCCTGAAGGCAGGGCAGTAGGAGTGGCTGAAATTGCCTATTAAAGAATGACCCTCACTCACCCAGCAGCAGCAAAACTGTCAGTGGCTGAAGCAGGCACAGGTTGCCAGGATATATGTCCTGAAACACCTGGGTCTCAAAAGTCATCTCAGAACTGGGCCAGAGTCCACTGGAGTATAAAAGATGAACTTAGAAATAAGGAAGGAAACTGTACATCCTCTTATATAGGTTTTCTCAGTCACCAGATTCTTACGTACGCTTCCTCAGTCACCAGATTCTGTTTCTGCTATACTCTCAGTAATATGTGAAACTAAAAGCTGAGTCTGTGTGGTGCAATGGATTGCTTTTGTAAGGACTTTTTCACCATGCTCTAATTACCCCCAAATTACTGAGTATGGTTATGCAAATGAGGTGCTTATGGCTCACCAAGGGGATTGGACAGCTTGCTAATAATGCAAATAAGGTGCATGGTACACTTGTGGGGATGAGACCATGAAAATAAGGTGTATGGAACCTAACAAGGGAATTGGTCAGTTTTGCCATCCTGCTAGGCTTAAAAAGAGCCATCCCAGAGGCAAAAGTGGGGGGAACCTCACTACCACCAAGAAAAAGAGACATGAGTGGAGTGTGTCCTTTGGACCTGTGTTCCCTGCGCTGAGAACCTCCTAATCCAGGAGACAGCAAGAAAGAGAGCTGTAACACCAGAGACAGCGAGAAGAAGCAGCAGACTAACTGCAGCAGCAGAGGCAGCAGAACCAGGAGACCAGCAGGAGATGGTGCAGTGGGCTTCCCAGCCCATGGAGGGAGAAAGCTGAGTACCTTTGGGCATAAGGTTTACTGGCAGAGTGGGGTGCCTCCGGACACTTGGCAGAGCTAGGCTCGCTGACCATGGAGCTAGGGAGCTGAATGCCTCTGGGCCAAGGCTTACTGGAAGAGTGGAGTGGCTTACTGGAGTGGGGTGCCTCCGAGCACTTATTGGTGGAGCTAAAGAGCTTTGTAACACTTGTCTGAGCCAGGGCGAGGGGACAAGGGGTGAGGGCCAGAGAGAAGTATGCCTGCGGACACGGTTGAGAAGAGGCTGTCCTGATGAAAGAACTGTATCCTGAGTCATTTCTGATACTGAATTGTAACCTGTTACTTCCCTTAAAAAACCCATAATTATGAGTATTGTCTGTGAGTTGTGTGTGGCCATTACAACAAATTATCAAACCCAGCAAAGAAGTAGAGAGTACCTTGGGAGAGACGGGTAGTGTCAATTGTTAAAAAGGTTGGAGAGACGAGGTATGTCTGACCTCCACCTCATAGGTATCAGCCTTGGACTGTTGATCTTGATTCTCTTTCCCCGTGAAGTTAGAGAAGGTCTGATGCTGCTACGTCACCATTTTTACAGTCTGCTTTACAGATAAATCTATCGTGTACCACCTCATTTTGTCCTTGTGAAAACCCTAGGAAACAGAGAGGGATTATTGTTGTATTTTAGGGGTGGATTACGCAGTAAGCAAGGTAAGCACAGACTTAATTTGTGCGTGCTTACTAATCTGTAGTGACCAGTTTCACATGGGCTTCAGATGTGGTGAAACCCATGTGAAATTGGTCACTATAGATTAGTAATTAAGCACAAGTAAGCCTGTGTTTACCTTGCTTACTAGGTAATCCATCCCTGTCAGGGATTGTAAATTTGAAAAGAGGCTTTGATTCTGTAGGAAAGTGCTGTGGGGTTGGGAGAGACAGAAGCAAGCCATACCTAGAAGCAGAATCTTTGAAGAGGTGAAAAAATGTGAAATTGCTCACTACAGATGATCTGGTAAGCAAGGTAAGCACCGTGCTTACCTCGCCTATTGGATAATCTGCCCCTGGTGTACTGGTGAAAAAAACTGATGGGGAAAAACACCATGAAGCAGAACTGGGCATGAAGCCCATGTCTTGAGTTCTCAGTTCAGTGCCCTTCCCTCGACCCTCTTCCAGCTGCCTCTCTGGCTGGTATTCCTCCATACAGAAAGTGCCAAATGAGTTTCCACCAGACAAGATAAAGAACTAACCCCTCAAATCTGCAGTCTATAAGAATCAATGTTTTAAAATCAACAAAAGTAGAGTACTTATCTGCGGGAGACACTCAACCCCAGAAAGTCTCAAAATATGCCATAGCCAGGACCATCCTCCATGTTCTCGACATCCCACCCCCAACCCCCACCCGCAACACACACACAAAATTTTCAAGTGCTAGAAATAGTATTGGTAAGAAAGCCATAAAGTAATTTCCAATGCTATGTGACAGTGCAGGTCCTGTATGGTACAATTCGGTTAACCACCACAGCATACTGGTCACAGCAGTTAGAAATCAGACTACGGGATATTGGATAAAATACTTCATCTCTACTAGTGTCAATTTTGCTATCTGTAATGTGGACCTAATGAGAACTACAAAAGATAATGTGATAACTACCTTATATACAATGACTGGTACATAAAATGTGTTCAGTAAAAAGTCCTTTTATGAGTGTTACCAAGGGGTTTTAACATTTGCATTTTTATGGAATAAATAAATATATTTATTGTTTAAGAGATTTCATGGTCAAAATCTCATCAAGAAGACATCAGAGTTGCATGCCCCAGTGGAGGTCAAACACATTAGGTCGCCAGGAGTCACAATCCACACCATGGCCAATTTAAAAAAAAATCCATTTCTCCAAATCCAGTGAATGGCCATCAAAAGCTATGACGTTCTGATGATGCTACAACGTGGATGAACCTTGAAGACATTTGGTCAGTGAAATAAACCAGACTCCAAACAACCAATGTTGTATGATTTTACTTTCATCACATCTATACAATAGGCAATTTCCTAGAGATACAAGTTGGATAGAGGTTTCCCAGGGGAGCAGGGAAGGGGGAAACAGGAGGTCATTATTTAAAGGAAATACAGTTTGTTTGGGAATGATTTAAAAAAAAAGGTGGAAACGGACATTGGTGATGATTAGGAAACATCGTGAATGTATGTTTAACACAGCTGAATTCTGCTCTCAGAAATGGTGAAAATGATACATTTTGTCTTAGATGTATTTTCACAATTAAAGAGAGAGAGATAAGAGGGGAGGTGGCGGGGGGGGGAGGGGGCGGAGAGAGAACGACAAGGATACCCAAGGAACGACTGTGTGGCTTGAGGTTTGTGCTTTCCTTGTATGCAAACTTGATTGCTAAGAAAAACAATCTTGGGGCAAACATTAGACTCCGTCTACTGACCCGCCTGCAGGCCTTGCAAGGCGGGCGTGATCACTGTCTGCAAATTACTTGGCGTGGTATCATCTATGATTTAACAAGAGGCATACAGCAGTGGAAGAAAAGACGGACACCTGGACACATACGCGGTAAGGCAGGAATGGGATTAAATATCTTGATAGTAGAACCTGGGAGGCGGGAGTTGGGATGTTCTCGGTACATTTCAGTCCACGGTGAGATCTGTCGGCGCCTTGCGAACAAAATCGTGTTAGAAAGTTGGGGAAGAGTATATACACTGCCACCGCCCCTCGGCCGCCCGGACACGAGCTGTTCGGCAAGTCCATTTCCCCGACCCGCTCCTGTCTCACATTCCTCCTCCTCCCCCCACCGCCCCCCACCCTCACCGCCACAGAGACCCATCCCCCGACCCTGACCCCCCAGCTAGCCGGCCATTCCAAGATTCCTTTTCCACATTCCTGTTTCCCGGCCGCCGCCTTCGCCCGGGTCTCTTGGCGCTAACCAGCTTGACTTTCCCAGCCCAGGTTTCAACTGGTGACCGAGCAAAACGCAAGCACGCGCGAGCCACCGCAGGCCAGAGGCTATCCTGGCCTGTGGGGTTTGGGGCTGAGGGAGAGCGGGAGCGCAGAAGGCGTCAGAGCACAGAGCAGTTGGTGGACGACGAAAGAGGACTATAGTGGGCGACAGAGGCGGAAAGGATGGGATTGCACCGGTGGAGGCAGCAGGGCAGGTAGTGTGCTGGGCCAGCAAGCGTTCGCTAAAAAAAACGTAGGTGTGGAGGTGCGAGGCCAACTCGTGGGCAGAAAGGAAGAAGGAAGGCGTCTCTAACCGGGAATCGAACCTGGGCCGCCGTGAGAGAACTGAATCCTAACCACTAGACCACCAGGGAAAGGCGGAAGACCACCTCTTCGCCGCGCCACCAAAGGCTTCCGCACTCTTGGGCGCTACCTCGGCGCCAGCTGCAGACCTCTCTCTCCGGCCTCCTGCGGCCTGCCGCGGCCGCCTGTCCTGGCCTCAGCTCGCAATCCACACGCTTTCCTCTTGCTCGCAGCACCTCCAAAACGCTATGCGCCGCCTTCCTTCTCCCACACCTCCACACCGAGCCAAGGGCCAAGTCCATCACGCATCCCTGGCCAGACGGCCCTGGGCCTCTTGGAAAACTTCAGCCCACTACATTGGCCAAGAATCGAACACCTGGAAACCGCATGAAAGGAATCTATGCTCACCACTATACCACCAACGCTGCACAGCCCAAAAGGCTCCTAGACGGCACTCGCTCAGTGCGCTGGCACCGCCGCCGCCGCCGCCAGACGCAACCCTTCCTCAACGACCCGCCCACAGGTCCGCGGCTCCGAGCCGCCACAACGCCCCCTGCAGCCCCGTCGGCGCCCACCCAGCCCAGCCTCTCTCAACTCCCTCCGCCCCCGCCCCCGCCCCCGCTGTTGGGGGAGCTCTCGCTTCCACGCGGCTCACGCCCAAAAAGGGGCGATCCAGGGCGAGCGGCCTCCAACCGCCCCGCCTCGACAAGAGCTCCCGGGTGCCGCCTGCCCCGGGGCACCCCTGCTCCAAATCCCCAGCAAGCCAAGGCCCCTCCCTTCTACACCACGTCCCGCCCGCACGGCGAGGCTCAGCTGGGCCACAGCCCGCAAAGAGGAAGTGTAGATCTCCAACAGGCCGCCCACCACCTGCCCTGGCACCTGGGTTTCGGAGTCACTGGTAGGCCGTCCGCGACCCTCATCTGGGTGGTGCTTAACACTGGCTTAGGACGGGCCGCTCGTCACGCGCTGCGGGGACCAGAGAAGGCTGCTGTGGCTGTGTCCTGGCTGCTGTGGCCTGGCCAGGAGGATAGGAAGGGAAGGTGGGCGGAGAAGTCGCAGGCCAGGCAACGGAAGGCCCTGTGGGCCCCGGTGCAGAACGAAGGGCTGTACAGGGCGGGGCACGGCAGAGCACGGCGCGGGGGACTGGGCCTGGGCCTGAGAGCGCGCGCCGGGTAGATGGCGGCGGAGGCCAAAAAGGGCGTCTGCCTCCCC